GGAGGGGGGAAAATGAGGACCTAATGCCAGGGGCTTCAGTGGAGAGGAAATGTTTTGAGAATGATGAGGGCAATGAATGTACAAATGCGCTTTACACATTGATGTATATATGGATTGTGATAAGAGTTGTATGAGCCCCTAATAAAATGATTTTTAAAAGTAAGTAAGTAACTGAAATATATGTATTCCATTTGAAAGTTTGTATCTCAGAGAAATACACATTTACAGTGATGGAGGTACAAAGACATTTATCACTGTAGTGCATATGAAAGAAAGAAGAAATGGGAGCATCCTAAAGGTCCCTCAGCAGGGAAATAATTAAAGATCATGCATCCATATTCTAGAGGACTGTAATACAGTACACTGATGTTACAGAACGCTCTGTACTACCGTTTATAGTTTTAAAAATTGTAAATCTATATTTACTGGTATGGAAAATTCAATGACCTAGACGGAGATAAAAACAAATGGTAAAATAGTAAATACCATTTGAGAGCATGTATAGTCAGCAAAAACAACACTAAGCATATAGAGGACAATGGACGTGTGTAAAACTAGCCATAGGAAAAGATCTGAAAAGAAAAAGCCTACACCTACAGGAGTGGTTACTTGTGGGAAAGGAGTTGGAAAGTTAGAAGCAGGGGCCTGTGAGACTTTGTTCCTGTATCATGTGAATGTCTTACAATTATAAGGTATTGATATATGCATAATTTAAAAATAGATTTAAAGTAGTAAAAGGAAAGAGGACAAAACTCAGACGGGCCGAAAACCACAATCTGAAACATGAAAGACAAGACAGTGTCAAGAGGGAAAAAAAAGTCCCTCTGCCCTGGGCATCTGTATTTGGCAAAGCAGAGATTGAGGCAGCAACAGCCTCGTGGCACCTGCATGTCCATGTGCCTCAGGAACCACCGCAGCAAGGAGAGCGAGAAGGGAGAGTCCATCCCACCACCTTTACTGTGCTTCCGCTGCGATGTTGACACACACCGCTTCTGCTTATATGTCCTAGGCTGAAGCCAGTCACATGCCCCACCTAAGTTGGCAGGATGGAGTCCAGCCTTCCAGGTTCCCAGAAATGGCTGGAAAATAACGGTGTTCTCTACATGTGCCTCATCTATAATCACAAGACATGAGATATAGGTCTTAACAAAATCAGTGCATAGGAGCTGTATAGGATTTAAGGTTTAAAATGACAAAATACCCAACCATCAACGAAATTACAAAATAAACCAGCAGCATGAAAGCGAGGCATTTGTATTGATCACATCAAAGTAGAACATGAATTCACAAGGGGATATTAGGTAGCTTAGACTTAGATTGGACTGTGGGAACAATGCTTAAGACCATGCTGTAGAACTGGCCTGATCCACTGGAGATCCCCTTGCAGAGATCTCGGGGAGGAGACGAGCCAGTCAGGGTGCGATGTAACAACGATGAGAAATACAACTTTCCTCTAGTTCCTAAATATTTCCTCCCCATTCCCACTACCATGACTCGAATTCGACCTTGCAAGTCTGGCTAGACCAGAGGAGGTACACTGGTACAGATAGGAACGGAAAATCCAGGGAATCCAGGGCGGATGAGCCCTACAGGACCAGTGGTGTGAGTGGCAAAACGGAGGGTAAAGGGAGAATGTGACCTCCTCCCTGGGGGACAGACAACCGAAAAGTGGGTGAAGGGAGACGTCGGACAGGGCAAGATATGACAAAATACCCATTTATAAACTATCAAGGGCTCATGAGGGAGGGGGGAGCGGGGAGGGAGGGGAAAAATGAGGACCTAATGTCGGGGGTTTAAGTGGAGAGAAAATGTTTTGAGAATGATGTACAAGTGCGCTTTACACAATTGATGTGTGTATGGATTGCGATAACAGTTGCATGAGCCCCTAATAAAATGTTTAAAAAAAAAAAAAACTGGCCTGATAAGAAAACTGAAGGGAGGGGGGGAACAGGGAGGAAGGGGGGGAAATGAGGAGCTGATATCAAGGGCTCAAGTAGAAAGCAAATGTTCTGAGAACGATGATGGCAACAAACGTACAAATGTGCTTGACACAATGGCTGTATTTGTGATAAGAATTGTGATAAGAATATGAATTGTGATAAGAGTTGTACGAGCCCCCAATAAAATGATTTAATTAAAATAAAAATAAATAAAAAGAAAACTGATAACTGGCCTGTCTACTGCTGCAGACACTGCCACTGAGCACTTAGTGCCAGGGACTTGGCTTCATTTTAACGGCCACTGCTACCAGCTTCCATGCCATTTGGTATCAAGCATCCAGTATCTGTATTCACAGCCGCTGATGGTATAGTGGTCCCCTGGGGGCTCCTAACCACAAGATCAGCAGTTCAGAACCACCAGCTGCTCCTTGGGAGACAGACAAGACCTTTCTCCTGTAAAGAGCTAGTTTCAGAAACCCACAGGGGCAGTTCTACCCTGTCCTGTAGGCTCACCGTGAGTCAGAATCGACTAGATGGCAGTGAGTGTGTTGTTATTTTTTGAGCTGTCCTCAAAAGCCAGAATTCTCAAGTCTCCACCC